GAGACAGAGTGTGAGCAGGGGAGGGGCAGAGAGAGAGGTAAACACAGAACCCAAAGCAGACTCCAGGCTCTGAGCTGTCAGCCCAGAGCCTGACATGGAGCTTGAACCCATGAACCCCAAGATCATGACCTGAGCCGAAGTCAGACGCTTAACCAACTGAGTCCCCAGGCGCCCTCCAAAAACATCTTAATATAATTCTAGAATCATTACCTTGTGTAACCAGCACCTGCACCCAGAAGGAGAACGTCACTGCCACTCCAGACAGTCTCTCTGCCCTTTCCCCTGCCCTGCTCCTAAGGGTAACCTCTGACTTCTAACGGCATGGATTGCTCCTGGCCTGGTTCGGTACTTTATGTAAATGGAATAGTTCAGAATGTTCTCTTTTGTGTCTGACTTCTCGTGACATCGGCTTGTGAGATCCATCCACACTGTTCCACATTATTTCGTGTCTTTGCTGGAGAGTTTGTTCTCATGGCTGGGAAGCAGTGATTCTCACAGTGGAGCGGGCCTCAGGGGGTTAAAACCCAGATTGCTGGGTGCCCCCCTCAGAGCTTCTGATGCACGAGGGCTGGGGTGGGGCCGAAAGTTTGTATTTCTTCCTTTTTTTTTTTTTTTTTAATGTTTCCTTTTGAAAGAGAGAGAGTCAGAGTGCGAGCAGGAGAGGCAGAGAGAGACAGAGGGAAACACAGAATCTGAAGCAGGCTCCGGGTTCTGAGCTGTCAGCTCAGAGCCCGATGCAGGGCTCGGACCCACAAACCGTGAGATCGTGACCTGAGCCACCGACTGCGCCACCCGGGCGCCCCAGAGAGAGTTTGTATTTCTTTTTTTTTTTTTTTAATTTTTTTTTTTCAACGTTTATTTATTTTTGGGACAGAGAGAGACAGAGCATGAACGGGGGAGGGTCAGAGAGAGAGGGAGACACAGAATCGGAAACAGGCTCCAGGCTCTGAGCCATCAGCCCAGAGCCCGACGCGGGGCTCCAACTCATGGACCGCGAGATCGTGACCTGGCTGAAGTCGGACGCTTAACCGACTGCGCCACCCAGGCGCCCCGAGAGTTTGTATTTCTAGCACGTTCTCAGCTGTTACCGCTGGGCACGCCTTGAGAGCTACCTCTTGGGCACATCCCCTTTCCTCTGGAAAAGGAGTCTGGGCTTGTTGTTACTGTTGTTTCCAGAAATCACTGAGGGGCAACACCGAGTGGCAGGAGGGGTGGAGGGACAGGGTGGGGTGGAGGCCGGAGCTGGCGTTCCCAGGGCCAGGGTGGAACCCAGGACACTGTCCTGAGCTGACGCGGGCCTCTGTGGTGAGTGGTCAGCTGGGGTCAGAGAGGATTTAGTTTCTCTGCTGTCCTGTGCCTAACAGGAGGCTGTTAACGATTTGAATTCTTGTGGCCTCGCCAGGGCTCTCTGGCTCCCTCAGGAGTGGGCAGGATACGGTGGGGGCTTCCAGAACATAAACCGGTCGGATACCAGAGGCCCCAGGGTCCAGCTGCGCACAGCACCAGCGGGCTCACTTTCTTCTTCTTTCCAACGTCTGCCATCGTTCCGGCTTTAGACGCAGGCGGGCAAGGCCCTCCCCAGTGCCCTTCCTCTGTGTTGCCCCTCACCCTGCACCATGTATCATACACCCTTGTTTTTTAGCCTGGGTCCTCTGCCAGACCTTCCCACTCCTTCTCTCAGGGCCTCATCTGCTTCAGGGGTTTAACTGTTTCCCACGGCCATGCCCTCAACAGAGAAGCTCAGTCATTTGCCTAAGATCACACAGCCGGTAAGTGGCCGAGGCTGAATTCGAACCCGGGTCTTGCGGTCCCGGGGCCCTGCCCCACGGCTGAGGGGAAAGGAGTGACTGCAGTGGACACAGGGGAAGGCCAGGCATGAGCTTAGGAAGCAGCGCAGCCCTAATCGGAGAGCAAAGCTCAGACAGGGCACATGGCAGGAGACAGAGCCAGAAACAAGGCCAGACCGGCCCTGTTCTCTCTGGGGGCTGATCTATCAGTTCCCGGGGCCTGTCCGGCAAGCCCCTCCCTCCACGTGGTATGGTGGCTTCTTCATGGGGAGCCCGGGGCAGTTTGGCAGCAGGGGCTCAGGCCAGGTGCAGGGGTCCTCCCCACAGTGGCTGTGGCCTCCGGGTATCCCGGTGACAATGACGGCCAGTCCCAGGCTTCCTAGTGAGTGGGGGTGGGTGGCTGCCCGAGCAGCTCACCTCTTGTATAGCCCAGCAAGTGTTGGGCGGTCTTCCTTCTGTAGAGCCCAAGTCAGGCTGAAGTCAAGGGACCTGGGAGTAGAGGGGACCCCAAGGTGTGGCTCTCCCTGGCAGGCTCTCAGGATGGGTCTCCTTGGGCTCTTGAGATAGCCTCGATCCTCAGCTTCCCATCTGAGGGTGGGCCATACCTAGCTGGCACGGGGTTGAACTGGTCAGTCATTGTCCTGGCTCAGCCCGCTGAGCGTGGCTCTGTCTGACCCTGCACTGGGCCCCAGGGTCAGGAGGCAGACGTGCTCCCTTGCTCAGGGCCCCAGGGGAGCAAGCGGGGGCCGTATTCTGACACCTGCCATCATCCGAAACATGAGAGCACCCCATCCTCAGGCTTCTCTTTCCCTCTGGAAACATCTCTCACTTGTGCGGTGGTAAGGCAAGCATTCAACGAGATTAGGGTGCCTGCCATCACATCAACATGCCTAAGCGTTAGTGACACTCCCTAAAAAGGCTATGCTTTTTACTCTTTCCAAGTAAAGAGTAAAGGACTGATCCACTTCTTCAAATTGTCTTTACTTTTTAGTAAAAAAAAAAAAAAAAAAAAAAAAAAAAATAAAAGATGGTATAATTTTTATTGTTTTCAATATAAAAAGCAGGGATAGGGTTTGGAAAAAAGGAAGCAGGGGTCATCAGAGCCTTGGCTGTGTCCCAGTGAGTGAAATCTATGCCTTGTCCCTGGGGACTGGCTGGTGGCAGCTCCTGAGAGTCCTGTCCCCTCTGGGCACCTTGGTGACAGCAGTCACTCTCAGCTGGCTGGGGGAGGAGGGCTCAACCTACTTTCTCAAAGCCCCAGCAGCTCCTGGAGTGTTTCCTTTATTAAGAGAACTTTCACCTAATTAATGGAAGCTGACCCTCTTTCACTATTTTCCAAATCCAGTCATCAGACAGGCTGTGAGCGAGAGGAGGGAGTGAGCTGGGGACAAGGACCACTCCTTCGGGGTGAGTGGCCTCAGCTGGCCACCGCCCTTGGCAAGCTCCCGCCCCGCCAGTGGGCCAAGGTCTGCTGGACGCAGCCAGAGGGACGCCGGCCAGGGCAGCCAGGCTCCCCGTCACAGAGCAAAGCAGACGCTACAGAAGAGTGGGCATGTCATTTCCGTAGCCAAACAGGGATATTTATGTGCAGGAAGTTGCACACTCAACACTGGGTCTTTGTGGAGTTCTCGTTGTGGGGCCATTTGCATGTTGGAGTTGCTGTGAACTCATCTATCAACCCACATTCGAGAGGATTTATAAAAAGGCCTGCTAAAAATGACAAGACCGGTATTGATGTCTTAGTCAGCTCGGGCTGCCTTAACAAAATACCACAGACTGGGTGGCTTCAACAACAGAAATTTCTTTTCCCATAGTTCTGGAGGCTGGAGGTGTGAGATCAGGGTGCGGGCTTCTGGTGAGGGCTCTCTTCCTGGCCTGTAGACAGCCACCTTCTAGATATGTCCTCACATGGCCTTTCTTGGTGTGTGCCCAGGAGACAGAGGAGGAAGGGAAGAGGGAGAGAGACTTCTTCTTAGAAGGCGACTAATATCGTCATGAGGACCCACCTTCTTTTTTTTTTTTTAATTTTTTTAATGTTCATTTATTTATTGAGAAAGACCAAGCACGAGTGGGGGAGGGGCAGAGAGAGAGAGGGAGACACAGAATCCGAAGCAGGCTCCAGGTTCCGAGCTGTCAGCCCAGAGCCCGACGCGGGGCTCGAACCCATGAACCATGAGATCATGACCTGAGTCGAAGTTGGGTGCTTAATTGACTGAGCCACCCAGCCCCCACAACCTTTAAAAAAATTTTGTTAAGGCTGGGGACCCCACCTTCTTGACCTCCCAAAGGCCCCGTCCCCAAATGCCATTACACTGGGGGTTTGGGCTTTAACAGGAATTTGGGGGAACATGAATATTCGGCACATAACAACTGGCAAAGGAACAAAGGGGGGTGCGATCAAAACGGCTCCGGGGATCCAGTCCTTTTGCCAGAAGGCGGCCGTCCTTCCCTCCTGTTCTAGAACCCCTTCCTTGAGAGTTGGCTTCATCCTCAGCCCTGGAAGGGGAGGACCCTGAGTGCCCCTGGTGCCAGCCCCCTGGCCACAGCTGCCCGGAAGAGAGTGGACCTTTGACCCAGTAGGAATCAAGCCAGAGGCTGGGCTGAGCCAATCAGATTTGCTCTCCCAGTGATGAAGATTGAGATGAGGACCAGGCCAGTTAAGCAGGGGGGCTCCGGGCTGGATGGCCATGGGTGGGGGGGGAGGTGCATTTTTAATTGTCCAGGACAAGTCATATAGAGGTGTAGCAGTGCAGCCAGTGTGGAGAGAGACAGAGACAGAGAGACAGAGGGAGACAGAGAGAGAGTGTGCAAGGCAGAATGAAAGCCCAGGGAGAGAGACATGCGTGGCATTCCCATCTCCCATTTCTGGTTCCCAGCCCTCGGCAGGCTGGGTGTTACTTTTGTCCTTCAGTTCCTTGTATTTTTCCAGTAAAATCTCTTAAAGTTGTTTTCTTACCCTGGTTTGAAGGGATTCTAATGCATCACTTCCCAGTGGTCCAACACTGGATGCCCTATCTGTGGTGTGTCTGGTTGAGGACGTGAGGTTGAGCTGGGTCCGTTGTGTCCTTGGGTCGTGGGTGGATTCTGTGCACCCACACGTTGGTATCGGCACAGTGCTAGGCCCTGGGGCCCCAGCAGAGCAGGCAGCAGGGAATTCCCCAACATGGCTCATCATTCCAAGCATGACTCCTCTGGCTTCTCTTTTCCTTCTAGAACCTTCTGTCATCCGTGCAGTGCTGGAAGCATTCTAAGTGACTCTGTGTGCCTCCTGGTAAGTCCTGTGATCTCCCCAGAGGCCTGCAAGTGGGAGGGAGGTGCCTCAGGCCCTGAGGAAGGTTTACCGAGGAGGTTAGGTAAACTGAGGTTTATGGAGGTGTGCACTGTCACAATTCAGACCCATTTGCCTGTGCCTGGGCAGAGAGGGGAGCAGGAATAGCCAAAAATTGCAGAATGCTGGAGGCCTGTGGAAGGTGAGAGAGCTGTGAGCTAACAGGCAGAAGGGCCAGGGTTGGTTGGTTTGTTTGTTTGTTTCTTTCTTTCTTTCTTTCTTTCTTTCTTTCTTCCTTCCTTCCTTTTTTTCTTTCTTTCTTTTTTTTTAAGTTTATTTATTTATTTTGAGAGAGCGCACGTGCACACACACACGAATGAATGTGGCAGGGGCAGAGAGAGAGGGAGAGAGAGAATCCCAAGCAGGCTCCCGACTGTCAACACAGAATCGTGAGATCGTGACCTGAGCCGAAATCTAGAATCGGATACTTAGCTGAGCCACCCAGGAGCCCCAGGGCTAGCATTTCTGTGTTGGTTTGGGTAAGTGAGTTATTCAAGAGGGAGATCTTAAAAAAAACAAAAACAAAAACAAAACAGCAATAGTAAGGCAGAGAAGTTGAGGGGCCTTTGGTTTCCTTCAACTATTTCTCCCCTAAAATATTCAGAGGATTGGGATGAACCTAGATAGTCCCCTGTTCTCCTTCCAGTTGCACGGGATTTTGAACCAGTGGCTGTGAGCTGATTTTTTTTTTTTTTTTAATTTTTTTTTTCAACGTTTATTTATTTTTGGGACAGAGAGAGACAGAGCATGAATGGGGGAGGGGCAGAGAGAGAGGGAGACACAGAATCGGAAACAGGCTCTAGGCTCTGAGCCATCAGCCCAGAGCCCGACGCGGGGCTCGAACTCACGGACCGCGAGATCGTGACCTGGCTGAAGTCGGACGCTTAACCGACTGCGCCACACAGGCGCCCCTGTGAGCTGATTTTTAGAAGTACAACCAAATATCAAAAAATTAATAGCTACATAGTTGATGCACCTTAGAAAAATTCCAGTTAGCACATCAGACCTGCGATTTCATAGGAATTAATACTTAGGACGGAAATAAATAGAGAATATCCTGTAAAGCCAATCTGTGGAAAATATTAGCAGCACAGGTGGCACACAGCTATGTTAACAATTGTAAACGTGCAGGGTAGATGAGTGACATTCCAGAAACACTGGATTGAAATTACCTGGATGACCCAGACACCACAGAATTCATTTGTCTTCCCGCCTAAGGCTCTCTTCCCTCTCTAGTATGGCAGGGCTTCCCAGAACGAGGCTCACTCTGAGCAGCTGCAATATCTGGGAGCTCTTAAGACGTGCAGAATCACGGGCTCTCCCCCAGACCCGCTCAGCCCGCAGCCCTGGGCAGGCTGGGGTGGGTGGGGACAGCGCTGTGTGGTGACAAGCCCTCCGGGGGTTCTGAGAAATTCTCCTCTTCGGCCTTCTGAGACAGGACCTCAGTGAGGCTGAAAGTCTTTTGAAACCGAGGGTAGGAGGGTGTGTTTGTACGTTGTGCGGGGTGGGGTGGGGCGGGACCGTCCACGGCTTTCCTCAGGCCCCCAGAGGGTGAAGACCACTGCTCTGATGTTCCTGCACCCCATTTCTCTGCCGCTTATTGCCGTGTTCGTGACTCCGTGCACTTTAATCATAAATAACCCAAACCTTGCTGGGCCATCGGCTAGGGACATCCAGCATGAACAAAATGGCCGGTGGGTACGTGGGACCTCCCCACACCAAGGAGACCCTCGAGGACCTAACCCGGGGCTGCCCAAACCCCCCAAATCACAGCAGAACTGGCACTGTCTCCGCAGAGCCTGGGTCTCTTTGTGTTTGTGCCCCTTTCTGAGTCCATGCTGTCTGTCCATCTGGGCTGCTCCTTTTATTCCTCCTGACAGGGCTCTGGGTGTGGCTTCCAGCTTGGACCGACCGTTGGGTCCATGCTGGTGCCCCACGTGGTCCCGCCATCTAGCTCCTCAGAGCTCCGTCCTCCAGGGCTCCACCTGAGGGCCGGGCCCACTCAGTCCACAGTGAAGCCCACAGAGACTCCTGTTCATCCACTGACCCCTTCCTCTATCCAGCAACTGCCAAGCACCCACCTGCTCCTGGCCCTGCGGTGATGGATGAGTGGGTCCGATGGTCATAGCACCCGACTATAGGCCACGCTGAGGTCTCCTGGGGCTACAGCTGGCCAGCCCCCACTCCAAACTCCACCTGGCGGGGTTCTCTCGTCCTGCAGAACCTGGTACATAGCACAGATGCTCAAATCACAGACCAGGGTCTGCTTCTCCAACTTGGCCACTGCTGTGTGGCCACCGCCCCACCCCGGTGTAATCACCAGGGTCCTTATAAGAGGAGAGCAAGAGGGGCAGAGAGAGATTTGCAGGTGCTACCATCGGTGGCTTTGAAAAGGGAAGAGGAGGCCACGGGACAAGGAATGGGGGCGGTCTCGAGAGGCTGGAAAAGACAAGGAAATGTTGCCCCAGGAGCTTCCAGAAGAAAAGTGGCCCAGATGACACCTTGATGTTAGCCCAGTGAGACCCATTTTGGACTCCTGTCTTCAAGAACTGAAAGGTGATGTGTCTATATTGTTGTTAAGTCACTAAGCATGTGCTCATTTGTTATAGCAGCAACATGAAGCTAATACACTCTCTTTCCAAGTGGAGCCCTAAATCCAGGAGGTTCACCCACCATTGATTTCCTCAAATTCTTTCTTCTCTTCCTTCCTTCCTTCCTTTCTTCCTTCCTTCCTTCCTTCCTTCTTTCCTTCCTTCCTTCCTTCCTTCCTCCCTCCCTCCCTCCCTCCCTCC